AGGGGCCCTGGGCCGTTTCTAGGGGCACAGAAGCAGCTGTGTGGCCCTGGGTGGGAATGGATCTGCCGTTCTTCCTAGGGTAAAGACTAGTCTCTGCTACACAGGTGAGCTCTGAGAGAGCCAGCAGAGATGAAGGCTGATGTTTCCGATGGTATTTCTTTTGACTTTCGGAAAGATCAAGCTCCTGGTAGAGTTTAAGCGTGCATGTTGAGAGTGGGATTGAGCATCAGGGAAGATGGGGAGCAGTATGCATGCCATAGGCTCGGAGCCCAAAATAGTCTGTGCCCGCTTGGGTCGCAGTCCGGGTTGGAAATGAGGCTTGTTCTCGTCGTGTTACTGGTGTGGAGCAGAGAGATCCAGAGACTCAGCCCAGGTCTCAGGGGCCTGTGGTAGAGCCTGGACTTGAACCTTGATTTCTTAAGTTTTCCCGTGGTTCCTGGATCATTCTCCCTTGCCCCACTGTTCAAGCTGTGCTGGTGGCTACTCCCTTCTCTGCTGCTCCAGCCACAGGGCTCTTGGCTCAGCTGTGTGGTGGAAGGGCCAGATCGCCCCACCCCCTTTGCCCCCTGTGAGATTCCCTCTGTCCTGGATGGGGTGGGTTGGTGTCTGATGTGGCTGGGAGGGCTCAGGGTCGCCCTACCCTCCTCAGAAGGGTCACTGAGGTCTCAGCTGAGCTGAGCTCCCAGCCCCATAGCCCACAAGCAGAGCAGCATGGGGAGATGACTGGGGTAGCAGGGAGAAGGGGTAGAAGAAACAGGCTTTGGCGAGTGGCTTTGCTTTGCGCCTGGTGGCCAGGTGTGTGTCTCTGTCTCCCCTCTCCTGCTTGTTTGCTAGGAAAGGCCTCTCTTCTCCTGGGACTGGATGAGCTCATCTGATAGCCCAGCCAAGGGAGCAGACCCAGCAATGGGAGGCAGTGCTGAGTGACTCCAGCTGCCATGAGGCTGAGGAGTGGGGCAGCTATGCCAGTGCCCCTGCTGCAGTGGGGGCTGGGCACTCCTCCATGGCAAGAAGGGATGTATAAGCTGTGGCTGTAGAAGCCCCCCATGCTTTGAGGGAATGGCTGAGGGAAGGACACAAGAATTGAACACCCCAGCTCTGTCTTTCTGACCAAATCATTGGAGCTGTGCAGGAAATGCACCCTCCCCTGGGGCGTGTGTGTGTTGTGTGGGGGGGGGGGGGAGAAGCCGGTGGAGGAGTGTTATTTGCACATGGCACCAGTCCCAGGTTTTCCCCCAGAGCCTTCTGTGTTCTCCTGGAGGCAGACAAGAATCAAGCTTCAGGCTTGGCCTCTGCAAAGCAAGAGAGCGGGACCTGTTCAAGCGGGGAGACAGGGGGGTCATGTGCAGCCTGGACAGGAGTGTATCGTGCCCATGCAGATGTGGGGACGCTGGAGTGTGCAGCCTGCTCTGGTTCCAGGTGGTTTTGCCTTTCCTAAGCAAAGCCAGCCCATGGGCTCTGTCTAGTGCCACCCATTACACACGCACTCCCCCAGCATTGTCAGCAGAGCAGCTGAGCTACAGCTGTGGGCAGAGACCTGCTTCTGGGAATCCCACTCAGGCTTCAGAGCCCCACCTCTAGGCCACAAGCCATCCAAGCAGGAAGAGGGAGGGAGCTTTCTGAAAGATGCTTTCCACCAAGACATACAGCCTGAGCCAAGTCAGAGGGTTTGTCTGGGACAGGTCAGCCCCCTGCTGCATCTGCAGTGATAAGAGCCAGTCATGCTTCATACTGCCGTTGGTGTTGTGGCTTTTGCATCTGGTACGTCTGGAGATCTCCACAATCATGAAACTATCCCTTTCCCTTCCTGGCTGGACATTTTGAGATGTCCCTGGGGACAGGACTGGGCAGAGCAGTAGTGCTGGGTTTGGATTCTGTGACTGCTGCAACAGAGGGTACTGATCTCCACTGAGGTGCCTTGTGATTCACAGTCACAGGAATCCAGGGAAGGGAAGAGGGAAGGCCCTCACTGCACCTGGGAGCCCACCTTGGCATCTTCCGTAGCACGTGTCATCCCAGCTGCAGGCACACAAAGGCTGGGGTGAGATCAGAGGCCTGTTACCATGTATACATATATGTGCACGCACACACATGCACAGCACCTGGCACGATGGGCCTGGGGCCTCTTGAGGATTCCTGTAAACCCAGCTGGTGAGAGGCCTCTGTTGGCAGTGTGTCGCCTGTGGCCTAGAGGGTCTGAGCTGTGCTCCGTGAGAACACTGCTCTATAGAGCCAGCTGTACACAGCTGTCCTGGCAGACAGGAAAGGGTTCTCCTGTCAGTGTTGGGGGTGGGGATAAGTCTGTTGAAGAGAGCAGGCCTTGCTCCTAGACCTGGTGCCACCTGGCCACCAGAGAGGGGGAGGGAGGCCCCAGTGCTGCCCAAGGGGGTCCCTGCCTCTGCACAGAGTGGGTAGCAGCAGGGAGACCCCAACACCAACTTGTCTGGCCCAGGCAGCAGCTGCCCTCCAAGAGCTTGGAGCACGGGAGAGTGTCTAGGACACTTGTAGATGTGTGTCCATCTCTCTAACCCAGGGCACACTCTGGTGTCCTTCCTGGGAGATGAGGAGAGCTGAGATTTGTTGACTGCATTCCTAAGGGCACATGGGGGAATGACTGCAGTCCCTGAATTTGTGTATGTTCTTGTGGACAGTCCCTGTATTTGTGTGGGTTTGTGACTTTTTTAGTATATTGTCTTTGAGTGCATGTGTGCGCTTGTGTGTGTACTGTGCCTGTGTGCACAGTCTGTGTGTGTGTGTGTGTGTGTGTGCGCACACTCACATGCAGGAACCACTGTAGTGGGTATGGACAGTTTGTGTGCATGTGTGCACACCATTTATAGACACAGCTCCTTGTATATCTGAGTACATGCTCTTCCCCGGGAGGTGTGTATACTCATGGTGGGTGCCCAAGAGGCTGTGTCATTGTCTCTCACACCTTGCTGATGCCAGGTGACTGTTGGGGCACATGTGTCCCCACAGTGGGAGCTGGTCTCAGGTGGTGATGCTGTCTTGGGTGCCACATCACTCTCCTTGGGGGGCAGGATGGTGTTTCGCTTGTGAGGGCTTGTTTTGTTTTTCAAATCCTTGTTCAAGCTGGCTTTGTATAGCCTGCTGCATGTGCACACTGACACGCATGCCCCAGCACTTGTGCACACACCCTGCCTTGAGGATTTGTTGAGCCTGGCAACTTGTGCCTGTGGCAGTGGCTTGTCAGGCCCTGGAAGGGGCCACCCCATAGCTATGTCCCTCCTGTGAGCCCCTCCTATGAGTGACCTGAGGGCAGCCTCTCCTCTCCCTTGCTTGGTTTCAGAGCAAAGGCTTAGGGAGTGCCCCTTGGTGGCCCAGGGCATGGTGGGGAGAGCATGGCACTGGGGTGCTGGCTGTGGTGCGAGGTGTGGAGAGGATGGGGTGGATGGGGGCAAGGCTCTAGCAATACTGTTCAGACGTGCAGTGTGACACTCCCGGGATGCACTTTCTGCCTGAATCCCACATCTTATGTCTGTGGCCTGGAAATGTCAAGTCACATCTTGCAGGCTCACAAAGTGCCTCCCGCCCATTCTGCCACAACCCGGGGGTGCTGCAAGATTCCAGAACAGTGCATGCCCCAACCCCCGTGCCTTGGCTTCCTTGGGGGTTGGCTATGGGGAGCCCCAAGATCAAGGGTCTGGTGGCTCAGGGCTCTGATACCCGCTGCCTAGGGCTGCATGAGGGTCTGAGTGGCTCTCCTGCAGCCATGCACTCATGGGCAGGTGGGAGGTGCCCACCAGGCAGGGATGCTTCCCTGGGTGATGCTGTGTGTGTTGTAGGCTCATAGCTGCCTTCTCCTCTGGTCAGTTCACAGGGGGGTCCAGGGTCCTGCTCAGAAAGGGGCAGAGGGACTGAACCTCCCAGAGGCTGTGGCGTAGACTGCATCCTCAGGGTAGTGCCAGCCAGGTATGCTCCTACCCAGGTGCAGGGAGCTATCTGTGGCCTGGACACTGCTTTCATGCTTACACCCACCTGATCCCCCCACACTACCCCCCAAATACCCTTCATCTGCTCTGGTGGTGCCTGAAGCACAGGGGAAAGTGCTCTTGGTCTTGTAGAGAGCATTGTGTGGCACAGCAGAGAGGCACCTGGCAGCCTTGCAGCTGGCTCCACACTGAAGCGGCACTGGTGTCCTAGCATTGGGGCTCATCAGGGGAGTGTGGCCAGCTGGGGCTGCCCCTCCAGAAATACTGCTGGCTGCCAGGATTCACCCAGTGCAGCCAGGAGTTTGGGATAGAAGCAGTTCCCTCCCCCAACAATGCTTCCTTCCTTTGGTGCCAGAAGGCACTGGGAGGACTTTTGTGACCCATGCCCCAGTGCCCTGCCTGCCTGTTGCATCATCCCTGATATATGCAGCACGGCCTGCTCTGTCGTACACTGGCTTCTCACCAGCGTCAACAGCTGTGCAAGGCATTGACGGGGGCAGGTCATTACAAATGCATGTTCTCGGTCTCAGCAGAGCTATGAGGGGGATGCCCAGCAGGGTGGCCATGGGGCTGTGTGGCAGCAGCACAGACCCTGAGCATGAGTGCTTTGCAGGCTTGGCGTTCTCTTGTTGGCAACAAGGCAGATGGCGCTTTCTCCAGACCCATCTCAGGCTGGGGAACCAGTGATTTTCCCCAGCTCTGAGGCCGTGCTTTGCTGGGGCTGGGCTTAGCTGGGGGCATCTCCAGCATGGTGGAAGGAGGCAATGTGGAGTTCACAAGGCAGAGTGGGGCACAGGTCCATGACGGGCTGGGAGCAGAGGCGGTGGGTGGCTGTGCTAGGCTGCTGTGCCCCCACTTCCATGTTCTTCAGATCTGTCCCCAAGGTCAGGGTGAGCCCTGTGGAACCCCCTGCTCCCAGGGGCTGCCTGGTGTTGGGCAGTGCCATGCTAAGCGGGCATAACTACAGGTCCCTCCTCCCACAGGGAGGGGAATGCAGCAGACAGACCCTGAGCAAGCCCTGAGCCCTCTCCTTCTGTTCTCTCTCCCCAGCCATAGAGACGCAGAGCACCAGCTCTGAAGAGATCGTCCCCAGCCCCCCATCTCCGCCCCCGCTGCCTCGGGTCTACAAGCCCTGCTTCGTGTGCCAGGACAAGTCCTCGGGCTACCACTATGGGGTGAGCGCCTGCGAAGGCTGCAAGGTGAGTGTGGGGCCCATGTAGCAGAAGGATTGCCCAGCGGCCGGGTCAGATGAGAGCACCTGAAGTCCTGGCTCTGACATCAACCACCCCTCCTCATTGTCTGCCCTGTCCAGCCTTGGGGGAGTCATTTAACCTTGAGGCAGCTGCTAGCCTGAGTTCCTTGGGGTGGGTTGGGAGGGGACAGCAGCTCCTAGTGTAGCACCTGTGGGTACACCAGGGTTCTGCTTTCACACTTCAGGAGGGTGCTGCTTGTTTCCTTATGTGAACACTGGGGTCCTTATTATTAATCCACACTCCAAGGAGCCAACAAGCACTTATCTAGGTCTGGACAGCCCCTGTAATGGGTTGGAAGTGGATTTTTGGGGGGTCGTACCAGTATCTGTAATGATCTCACCCTGATTCACAAACAGCTGCCCCCTCTCTCCATGTGCCAGCCAGGCCTCCTTCTCTGTGGTGCCCATCTTTCTTGCCAGGCATAAAGGTCAGGAGCCCAATGTTAGGCCACTCTTGGCACGCAGTACCCTACATATGGCTGCTCAGCCCTGCTCTCTGGTTGTCCTGCTCTGGGCCCTGCCAACCCCAAAGTGGTCACAGTACCTGCCCAGCTGCTGTGGCTCCTGCCCACACTGTGGGCAGGATGTGGAGCCTTGCTTGTTGCAGCAACCTACAGAGTTTGGAGTGCTTTGCCAGGGTGTAATCATGAGGTCTCAGGACCTCATGGAGGAGAGTTAGCATCTGTCCCTTTGGGCAGGGGAGGGAAGTTGAGGCACAGAGAAACATAAGGATTTGCCAAGGTCTGCCAGCATGTCTGCAGCAGATCCAGGAAATGAACCCAGGAGTCCTGGCTCCTTGCTGTAACCCACTAGACCTCACTTCTCTCCTAGAGCCAGGTCAGGAACGCAGGGACTTCTGGACTCTTGACTCAGGCATGCTGTACAGTGGAGAGAGCCCCTTCACCCATACTTGGGAGTACTTTGCAAAGTATTTAGACATTGGGAAGTGCCAGGTGCTGAAGGCAGATGTTCCTGCTCCATTCAGAGAGCCTTCCAGGCAGAAGGCACATGTAGCCCTGACCTGACATGGGGTCTTTTGGGGTTCCAAGAGCACCTCATGTAATGCTTTCCTAGGTTATTCCCAGCAGTCCAATCTCCACAGGCATCTTGTGTTCCTGTACTTTCAAGGCACCTAATCCCTGCATGGGAATGAGTTTGACCAAGCCCAGAGGGTGGGGGCAGCAGCTCTTGGTTTGTTCTGTACTAGTGGGAGTGTTGTTTTCAGGCCGCTCTAATGGAGACTGGGTGAGAGGAAAGGATCGTAACTGGGGGTGAAGCTAAAACAAAGCAGCCCTTTACCCCAGAATAAGACCGCTTGTATTGCAACAAGGGGAAGGGGATGACAATTATACCAGAGCAGCTAGAATAGTGGGTCTTAGGGCTTGCCTATATGGGACAAGTGATGACCAGTTTGTCCCAGTTAGACCAGCATGGAGGTGCCTTATGCTGGCATAGCTTATTCCCCTTTGGTGTGGGGAGTAAGGGGGTACTCTTCATACTAGTGTGACCTCATCCACACCTGACACAATGCTGCCTTGCATCACAGTGCAGCAAGGCTCATCCCACTCTGCCTTCCCAAGGCACTGTACTGTGCCCTGTGCGTAAGAGAGCAGTCCAGAGCCAGGCCCAGGGGGAGGTAGCTCTCAGTACAAGGATTCACAGTTGTGTTGGTGGCAAGCCAGGGGAAGTGGGTTGGATGAGCAGTGCTGCCTTGCTCACTGCGCCTGTGGCCTGGGTGCTTTCCACAGGGCTTCTTCCGCCGGAGCATCCAGAAGAACATGGTGTACACATGCCACCGGGACAAGAACTGTATCATCAACAAGGTGACACGCAACCGCTGCCAGTACTGCCGCCTCCAGAAGTGCTTCGAAGTGGGCATGTCCAAGGAGTGTAAGTGCCTAGGTACCAACCCCCCCCACCCCCCTTTCCCCAGGGCAGGGCAGGATGGGTGAGGCTCCATGGGGAACTCCAGGCTCCTGGCCCCAATCCCACCTCCAACCAAGACCTTTCTCTGCAAGGGAGAGAGTGCTGCTGGTGTGAGGACGGGGCGGGGAGATAGGGTTGACTGGAGCAGGCCGTGCTCATTGTGGGGGCACCCAGCTCTAGGTTCTCCTTCCCCTCATTGAGCCTAGTAGGGCTGTAGGTACATTTCTGGGGGCTTGTTATGCGGGGGTCGGTGCCGTTCGGCAACATTGTGGGGACTGCTCTCCCAGGATTAGATGTGAAATCCCATCCCCACCTTCCTGCCGTGTGTCTGCTGGGGTCAGGGGGAGACATAGGGTCTGGTACCTGTCCTCTGAGGGGTGGGCTGTGGGGGTGGCTCTGTAGGGTCACTGGAAGCATAGGTTGGTGAGGGGAGGGCGTGAGGAGTCGGGGTGCCTGTGGGGAGGAAGCAGGGGTGGCTGTGGGTGCCCAGCCCTGCAGCGGGCAGGGAGCCAGCCATCTTGGGGGCAGGTAACATCCCTCCACCTCCGCTCCCCCCCACACCCAGTCGCAGGGATTTTCCAATTTGGGCCGAGCGGCGGGGACCACCCCCTTTGAGCCAGATCCAGGCTGTTGCCTTGGCAACCTGTGATTGATGATGTCAGAGATAAATGACGCTGACAGAGGCCTCCTGGCGTCTGCGTGCCAGTTGTCATGGAGCCCGACTATAAAAGCCTCCCTGCTCACGGTGGCATCGCCGGGGGTTAGATTAATAAACTGGGGGGGATTGATCCGGCTGGTATGAGGGGGAGGGAGGGAGTGCCGGGAGGAGAGGGTGAGGGCGCAGCTGTCTCGGCCCAGCCCCCTGCCGCATGCCCCCCGCCAACTGCAGGGAGCCGCCTCCCCCCACGGCACCAACCAGGAGAATGCGGGAGTCCTGCCCACCGGGCCCCTGCCCCATCTGCTAGCTGGAGGGAGGACAGCGGTGGGGAGACATTGTTAGCGGGGAACAGGCGTCACCCCAGAGCTGGGGGCAACAGTGCTGCCAGGACCAGCCGCCCCGG